TTTGTACTTTAAATTCAATTGGATGTTTCACTAAATTTTTCTGATAAGTAAGATTCTGCTTGTGGTTATTCCCAACATTTTGGCGTAGTTCTTTTGACAAATATGAAATACTGACAGTTTTTATATGCTCTAAACAAAACACAATAAATTGGAACCATGAAACCAGCTTATGATTGAATTTCGATATTCGAATTTACACATTCACTTAGAAAAAATGGCCAAAGTACACTCATTTGAAAAAACCATCTATTTGGTTAACCAATGAAACATTTAAACTTACTCCCCAAATGTTCTATCAGCTATAATCATTTCATGCTCATGGATCTGGTATTGCAGTTGCTCGCATATAGGCCTTCCCTCCAAACAAAACTGAAAAAACGTAATAGGTTTTTGCAGGTTTTACACCTACTTGACGGCCTGAAAAGTTTTCGGTTGTTTTTTCTATCTCTTACAAAGTTACTTGAGAAAAATCAAATGACAAGGCCTCAATTTCAACACAAAAAACAACGAAGATTTAGCATTAGTCTTATGTTTGCCTTCCATTTCATTTGAAAAAAGATTGGCTTTGTGTCTATACTTCGGCTCTACCTAAATGAAAAGCATGTATTCCCAACGAAACTTTGTTTCCAATCTCCCTTCGGAGCCAGCCAGTTGCGAACGTGAGTGAATGGGTAGACAAAAATTGCTGTCAAAGGATGGCATTTTAGCCTTCTTTTTTCCACGGAGCCCATCCTAAAATGTGCAAAGTTGTGGGCAGCTTGCAAACAAACGCTGCCGTACAAAATTTTTTGTTTTTGGTGCATCGAGTGGCCGTAACTTTATAAAGAAGAAAAGATACCGCGTTTTAATAAAAAATTACAAAATTTTGTCTTCGTTTGATCTCTGCTCTTGATGTGTATATTTTCAAAGCTTTATCTAGTGTTTGTTGAACTAGTATAAATTTTGATTTATCTTTTTTTTTGTATTTCAAAATTCATGTTTTCTTCCTATTTAGGTTTTGATCAGGTTTGTTTTGAAAAACTTGTTCATGTTAGACTCCCGGAAAACGTAAGAATTTGTTCCGAGCGTAAGCAACAAATTTCAGTACAATAACCTTCTTCCCGTGATACAAGTTGGGACAAAATGCTGGCAAACCTTTTAGTTTTGCATTTATGTGTCAAAAAATCCAAAAAAGCCATAGAAACGGTTGTATTAACTTGAGAAAGATTCTGAAACTGTTTTTGGCGTTGAAAGTACATCTTTAAACTTCTATCCCGAACCAAAAATCTGAAAAAAAACCGCCGTTTTTAGTCAAGGAACGTTTTTTGCCGGCTCTTAAAGTTCATTTTTGTTCCGAATCACTGCAATATCAATTTTTTTCAAAAATTACACAATTTTAAGACAAAAATTTCGGGCTTTAATTTCTGGCGCTAAAAGTTTCCGATATTCCCGGAGCAACGTCTTCACCAAAAACTCCTTTTAAAAAAGTTCTTTTTCAATTTATGAACAAAACGTTGTTAAGTTATAGAAATATTTTTGAATTGCTGTGGTTTTCAGTTGAGTATGCAGGAGTCTTTAGCTGGGGTCTTTAGTGCCTGTTTTTTTGGTTGAACTCTCAATTCATGAATGGAGGGAACCGTTGTTTTGGAAAAACTAAACCCGTTGAAAAAAAGTCAGAAATTGGGACATTTTTTAAGGAACTGGGGTTTTTGAACTGAAGTTTTAGTGCTGAGCGCCCTTTGGACAGTTTCTGTCGGGTTTCAACAGGTTCTGCCGGTTTGCACAAGCGAACGACCTCTTAAAACCGATAATTTAAGTCCTCTGCCAAATATTGTAGTACTTGTACTAGTTGAGGACAGATAAGCCATTTTAAACTCCATTCATACCTCTACCAACTCAAAAATAATTCCAGTTTGTTTCGGTAAAGAAGTGATCTTGTTTAAAACAGAATTAAGCTACAAGGTACTAACTGGAAGAGGTTTTGAGATTTTTACATAAAAACATACTACCTAGCTCTTGCACTATTCTTATACCATTCTACGAGCTATAACATGGGATTAGTCTTTCCATTTTGCTTTGTCTTTCAAAGATCAACAAATATTAGTCATATCAACCAGAGCGTATTGCATTAAAACTTACATTTGATCCTCTAAGAAAGAGAAAAACCCAAGTTATGAAACTCTCAAACAACGTGCAACAACAAACAGGGATGCTAAAGAGTTGATTGCAACGAGAGGTGGACATAATCAGAATAATTTTACGACAAAAACTTGATGCTCGACCAGCTCCGAACAAAAAATCCAGGGTCCGAATGACAGTAAAACCCCGACCGTCGCAAAAAACACAGCAATTCAGCCCATAACAGACAAAATTGCCACTCAGTTAGCCCTACTAACACTTGAAACTTAATTCCGACTACACAAAGCAATTGCAAGCTACGAGAACCTGTTCTACCAGTCAACAAGACATTTTTAAATATACAAGCTAATCAAGAACTTCGTAAGATTTGACAGTAGATAAAACAATAACGAAAAAAGCATTTTATTCGGAGGATCGGAAATGCTATAATCCTTGAAAAAAAATTTTTTTGGTGGGCTGACAGAATTGTCAAAGTCACTTCTAACATGATTTTCCCAACTTAACTCAGCAGCCGTTAGTTTTTCAGAAATGGCTCCTGCTTGCGTCTATGCCGCCTTATCAAATAAAACTGAAGAAACATACCAATCTCTTTGAAAATGAAATAGTCCAGCAAATTCAAACAGTTTTCAATCGCTTCTTGAAACATTCGGAAAAAATGAAAAATTGACAAGCTCTGTCTTTTTCTGGATCTATTTACATTAATCACATAAGTCAATTATTAAATCCTGTTCCACCTTCACGGAATCAGAGAGATGCGGCAACATCCTATTACCAGAACAACCAATGCTGTAGAGGGCTGGGATTATGCTATACAGTCATTATCCAGTGGTTCGCATCTCGTATAAAAAACTAATTGACAACTTGCAAAAAGACGTTCCATTCAGTAACTCAAGATCTCTAACGGCTCGAACGGGCACCAATTAACGAGTGAGAAAAAAACGTGACACAAACGAAAAAGTATGTAAATTGGAGATGTAAAAAACGCACTGTCTTGAATCACATTCTGAAATAATGCTGTTTCTAGCAGTTTAATCTCGGAACGATTGCGCTTCTTATGGGACACGAGGTTGGGACAAGTGGCTGGCAAACCTTTTAGACTTTGTTTTGTATGTCGACAATTTGAAAAAATTGACTTACTTGAAAAGGTTCGAAACATTAAATCAATTTAATTTTAAAAGATTGGCATTTGAATAAAGCTTCGATTAGATCAACTTGTTGGTCACAATCAATTTTGTTTTCATATTTTAATTGTTGTCAATTATTAAATCCTGTTCCACCTTCACGGAATCAGAGAGATGCGGCAACATCCTATTGCCAGAACAACCAATGCTGTAGAGGGCTGGGATTATGCTATACAGTCATATTCCAGTGGTTCGCATCTCATATAAAAAACTAATTGACAACTTGCAAAAAGACGTTCCATTCAGTAACTCAAGATCTCTAACGGCTCGAACGGGCACCAATTAGCGAGTGAGACAAAAACGTGACATAAACGAAAAAGTATGTAAATTGGAGATGTAAAAAACGCACTGTCTTGAATCATATTCTGAAATAATGCTGTTTCTAGCTGTTTAATCTCGGAACGATTGCGCGTCTGATGGGACGCGAGGTTGGGACAAGTGGCTGGCAAACCTTTTAGACTTTGTTTTCTATGTCGACAATTTGAAAAAATTGACTTACTTGAGAAGGGTTCGAAACATTAAATCAATTTAATTTAAAAAGATTGGCATTTGAATAAAGCTTCGATTAGATCAACTTGTTGGTCACAATCAATTTTGTTTTCATATTTTAATTGTTGTCAATTATTAAATCCTGTTCCACCTTCACGGAATCAGAGAGATGCGGCAACATCCTATTGCCAGAACAACCAATGCTGTAGAGGGCTGGGATTATGCTATACAGTCATATTCCAGTGGTTCGCATCTCATATAAAAAACTAATTGACAACTTGCAAAAAGACGTTCCATTCAGTAACTCAAGATCTCTAACGGCTCGAACGGGCACCAATTAGCGAGTGAGACAAAAACGTGACATAAACGAAAAAGTATGTAAATTGGAGATGTAAAAAACGCACTGTCTTGAATCATATTCTGAAATAATGCTGTTTCTAGCTGTTTAATCTCGGAACGATTGCGCGTCTGATGGGACGCGAGGTTGGGACAAGTGGCTGGCAAACCTTTTAGACTTTGTTTTCTATGTCGACAATTTGAAAAAATTGACTTACTTGAGAAGGGTTCGAAACATTAAATCAATTTAATTTAAAAAGATTGGCATTTGAATAAAGCTTCGATTAGATCAACTTGTTGGTCACAATCAATTTTGTTTTCATATTTTAATTGATTTCATTCAATAAATCGGATATAAGCGAAAATATTTTCATGATCAAGTTCAATTTTGAAAAAAGTCATTCATTTTTGTTACTTATTTGTGTAATTCCGGTCAGATTGATTTCAAGATCGTATTGAAAACTAGACTTTCGGCAATGTCATTTCTATTTGAATGTAAGCCGCTTTTAGCAGCGTGCCTGATATTTCGTTCTGTTTCGCAAAAATTTCGCAATTAAAGCTTTGACGTTTATAGATGGCTATAGATCCAAAACCTTTTCAAAAGCTTTCACTTCGATTCCAACAAGTGGTATTAAAAAGTGGTTAAATTGCAATGGGGTTATCTTATTATTGGGTTAAATGGGTGGTTAAGGAAATGGGTGTTAAATGCTGTGTGATAAGTTTGGGAATTTTTTTTTTGTTTGTTGATTGCTCTGAATTATTTTGTAGACACCAGAAAAATTTTGTCTTGTCTACTCTACTTAAATAGCTTGAAGTGTTTTTGATGTAAACGAATAGTTTTAAAAATTAATTTTGAATTTGAAAGTAGTGCAGATATCAAAATCTGAGAGCATAATGTCGCATCTTCTTGTGTGGTTTTTTGTAGATACATTTATAAATTAGAGCCCCAGTTTTAGGGTGGGTGAATTTTTTGTAGTGCAGTGGCTCTCCCATTGATTGGAACTTCAGTTTTTTCACTATCTTTTCCGAGAAAGCATCTGTGCAAACGATGCTCACGCGGTGGAACCTCTCGTCGTCTGCTTTTTTCACGCATGCTTTCACAAGTTGCGACCCGACAGTCATTCGGCGGAAGCGACTGTCAACTGCTAGCTGATGTATCTGACACGTTTTTCCAGCTTGTCGATCGTCACCCTCGTACACCTAATGGAATACACAAAAAATAGGAGTTGACTCTGATTTTTCGAAACTTGTGTCTGCTTTCTAGGCACACCAATGCGTTTTCGAGCTCTATTGAAACCCTAGTTTGGCAAAAACTTGCATAAAGTTCCTTAGATGCTTCGAGTTTTGGATAAATCTTGCGTTTTGAGCTCTTTTTGGAATGTTAAGATTAAACAATTACGTTTTTTTTTCGGGCCCATTGTCCCTTAAGTTTAGCATTTTTTTGGCGCCAAAGAAGCCCTCACAGTTATTTTACTTCTTTTTGTGTACAAAAAAGAGCTTTATTTTGTATACAAAAAAGAGCCAATTATGAAGTCAGTGCGCGATAAATGAATATCGTTAATAAAATCCAAAATGGCGTTTTTTCAAAAAAGAAGCGGCATCCAAAATTCCCAGGCTGAGATGCTCGACTCATGATTCGACCGACGAAAAAAGTCGCTAGTCGATCGAGGCTGAATCCCGGGTCGAACAGAATCGAATCCGTGGCCGAAGATGGTCAAATCATATGTCAAAAGGCTCAAAAATAGGTTGCAGGGAGTCAGGGGTAAAAGAGGAGCGTAGTCGACTCATGGGTCGACCGCGGTCGAATCATGCGTCCGATGAAGTCGAATGAAGTCCGATAAAGTAGAACTTTCTGATTGAGTCGAACAAATTTAAAAAATTTTCGGAAAAATCAGCAAGTCGATAACGGATTTCGTTTGGCTCGAAAGGCCGAATCAAGTTGTTAAAAACGTTTTGATCGAATCTGGAGTCGAGCGCCTCGGCTTGGGTTTAGGGGTGCAAAGCAAAGTCCCAACGCCAGAAAATGGGAGGGGTGGGTGAAGAAAAGCACTACTCTTTTGCCTGTTTCTTTTATAATGAATTAGACGTTCAGGCAGTCATAATTGAGTAGTTAATCCAATATCCACACTTTTTTGTCCAATCAGTAGGGAGAAAAATTTTGCTTCCATTGGGACCTGATGTGAACAAAAAATGAGCACCTGTTTGAGGATCTCATCTCGGTCGGCGATGCTGGAGAAGGTGGCTTTGAGATGCGCCCACGCGGCCTCCCACTCCTCGTCCCCCTTATCTGTGCAGAGGCAGATACCTAAACAATCAAGCAGAAGTTATTTACAAATAAAGCCAGCAATATATCAGCTTAGCTTAAATGGGACTACTAACATCTGGGCGAAGCTTTGAATGTTCAGAATTCCCATAAAGGAGTCTAAAAGTTCTTAAAATGTGAGCAACATTTAAATTTTGTTGAAAAAATGAAAACTTTATAAAATAATTTTTAAATCATTTAAAATATATCATTGTCTTGAGGTAAAAGAGATACTCATCACTGATCAGTTTTCTTGTATGCTGCCGGAGCCATTTTTTTGTTCGTGGTTTTTGCCCTTGCCTCCCGATAACAAAATAAAAACTTTTCTGATAAAACGCACTCACATTAAATTGCGCCCTTTCGGTCGGTGCGCACTGTCAATACGTAAAACGCTGGGACAGCAAAAACGTTGCAAAAATCAATTCAATTTTTTACACTATATGGGGATATACATAATCAAAAACGTTGGACTGTGCTGTGACTGTTATCGTACTGTCTGACGTCACGGATGCTCCTCGTATGGTTGGTTTTGAACCATACGATTACCACAAACTGACTACCTGTACCCAACGGAGGCTCTTTTTCCAGATAGAATTTTTATACATATTATATAGCCTAATTTTCTCGTATTTTCTATGCAGAAATAATCTATTTTTTTTTCTATCGGAGAAATAAATAGTTTCTGGAAAGAAATAGCGAGAAATCAGTTCACTGCTCAGCCGTAACAGGATAAACATGCTTTGAGTATCCACATTAACATTAACAATACAATGCAAACTAACTGCAAACTTTTTTTTGACTGCACTTGTAAATTTTGCTAAGACTATCTTTCTTCTGCAGCATAGTGGATAGCACAACCGCATAGAAGGCTAAAAGTCAGGGGTTCGAACCCCAACAGGATAATTGTTTTCTAGCTAGAAATTGCCTAGATATAGCTAATTTCTAATCAGAATTAAGATTGGAAATAAAAAAATTTAAAAAAAATCCCTTTATTTAAACATTTCAAAAAAATTTCTGACCAGAAATTAGATTGGATATGAAGTACTTCAGGTCAGACATTTAAAAAATTCTCGGTACGGGTATTAACAGGGTCAGTTTGTGGCAATCTACCCAGAATAGGTAATTTGTTCCATAAACGGGCAAGGGACGAAAAACTTTGACTCAGAAATAGTTTCCCATTGATTTGAAGCATGGTATTTTTGGCCTTTAAGTTTTCCAAAAATTGCATGTTCTTCAAATTTTAGGCAAACGTTTCAGAAATTCTTCCAAATTTCGAAAAGATTGAACATTTGTGGTCTGTGTGGTTATTTTCTCCGGGCAATTTTCGACTACATACATTTTTGAACAAAAGTTTTTTACTATGAAGGTACTAATGTCGTTCAAATGTTCAAATGAGTTCAAATGACATATCAATTATCATATATTTTTGTTGAAAAATTACCTTTTGAAAATTGCCAATTTGCCTAACTTGGGACTCATAACGAGCAATCTATAACATTCTTATAACATTTGAAAAAATTAGCATTTTATTAGACGCATAATTGTTCCGACTTTCGAAGAATACTGTGGGGTTTTTTTTTAATCAATTCTCGGCGACCAAAATAACAGTTTTTAAAAATAAATTTTCATATCCGTCGATAGACTAATTTATGTGCAATTCGAACATATTATTCATAATATTGAAAGCGTAACGCAAAATATTTATGCGTGGCGAATTATCCCGCAAATCAAAAGCGTTCCAAATTGAATTGAGGCTATAGCTAATTGATTGTAATAATTTCTTACGGCTCAAATTTTTACACTTGACTTTTCATATTGTCCAAAATTTATAGATTTTCAGTATTTTTTTCCCAAAAACTATTCGATAGAGATTAAGGGGCATAGTCGGAACATTTAGGGCTTTGCCTGGTATACGAGTAATCTTGTTTTGAACTTAAGATAGCTTGTGTAGAACGTTTTCAAACAAGCCTGCTCCTATCAGGGCAAAGCTGCCATTTTATTGGTTTCGAATATCGTTTGGTTAAATAAGCAGTGGCAAAACTAAGAATTTTAGGCTGATCATATTAAACTTTTAGTGTTACAATTTGAGTCGTGTAGAGTACTTATAACAGCAGTTAGCTGCTTCAATTAAATTTGAAAGCATCCACCTTTTCACAACTCCCACATCAGCGCTTACCCCAACACCCATCAAACACCTTGACCAAATACGCCACCACACCGCCCACCGGAATAGGTAAATTTGGTAGTAGTAAAAACGGGGGGGGGGGGATTTGTGTGGGGTTGGTTGTGGGGTTAAAAAAAACACGGAGTAAAAAATAACAAAAATACTTACGTAACTTATTATTTAACGCGATTGAAACAAAAACAACTTCAAATTTAGCGAGACCGCAAAATAACTAATTTAAGTTGAAACTCATTATCACCAAATAATATAGCAAACAAAAAGATTCAAAAAAGTGATTATAATCAATTATAAAGGATCATAAAAGATAATGTTTCGCTCGATAAATTTTTTGAAAATAAGCTGAAGTACTATAACAGTTTAATCCAATCTAATCAATTATAAATGATTATTTTCGAATTTTACAGAAACAAATTGGAAAAATGTAACAAAATTGATTACTATGATTAAAAGTTCAGTGGAGGAGCAGTTTAGACAGACTGTTCGCAGGTTTTATAATGGTGTGAACACCACTATGGGTGCATGCAGATCAAGAGATCGATATAAAACCACCAGAGCATAAATAGTCCTCACTTTTGTTGGAACAAAAAGGGTCTAGATGAAAAGCACAGTTATATTCAAAACAAAATTCAATACTAGGCCAAACTGAGCACTGGATAGACATCCAATTTTACATGTGTATGAGATTCTGGAAACCAGAGACAAGTCTTTAAAGTTGTTACAATTTTGTCGGAACGATTAAAGAAAACAAGAGAAAAAATGAAGACCAAAGGGAGCGTCCTTGTAGAGGAATACGCATACAATTCACTAAATAAACTGTTTGGTTGGTAAAGATTCCGCGGCCGCAATCGTCGCGTTAAACGCTTCCGTTTGAAATTTTTGTTGTGATCTCCGAACCCACATACCCCCCCCCCCTTCTGAACCCACATACCCCCCTCTTCTGAACCCACATACCCCCCCCCACCCTGAACTCACATACCCCCCACCTGAACCCACATAACCCCCCATCTTTGTTGTAAATGGGCAAACGCTAGGGGGTAATGTTGAGTAATATAAAAGTAACAAAAATATCAAAGTTAGGTAGAAAAAAATTCAATTAAACAACAAGTAACCAACATAACCAACTTTATTTTAAAACGTAGAAAAAACTTCATGTGCGTTGAAATTCGCATCTCAGTAAAATGGAAAAAAATTGATTATAATTTAGTTTCATTGTCAGTGTCCACAAAAGTGAAAAAAAATCGATTATAATGGATGAAAAAAGGATTTTGTTGCCTCGAAAAGTGGTAAAATTATTATCCATTTTAATTGATTATGAACGATTTATTTTCACTTTTGTGGACCCTGACATAGAAACTCAATTATAATCGATTTTTATTCATGGAACTCCAATGCGGTCCACTATATGGTATTAGAAGTTCAGTGGATCAGGCCCACTTTCCTGGAGCCTTTTTGTCTCATCAAATCTACCTGAAAGTTACTTTGAAAACATGAATACCCATTGATATCCGATGATAATAGATATTTTGGCCTGGTTATGTATTTTCCAATAGATGTCTTTTTAAAACAAATTGATGAAACCCACTTTGCTTGAACTATCAGATTTTTTTCTTGTCAGATTTTTCGACAACGCGATGAACTTCATTGAGAATGGTAAATTTAGCAGGTACTATAATTTTTTATCATTTTTAGTTTGGAGCTCAAATGATACCAAAAATTGAACACATCTTGAAAAAGCCGCTCACGTTCTTTCCAGGCAATCCTCAATCATCACTAGTGTCAACTCAACAAATGTAAATCCTTCAAAAAGTATTTGCCTCGCCGCACCATCTCTATGTCTCTCCTTGAGTTTGACATCTTTGTTTTTTTTGGCGCATCCACTGTCAGTTGCACCTATTTACCGTCTGTCAGCACCGTGAATCTGCAAATTTTAGTCTCAAAATGATTACCAACAAACACACTCTTGGCTTGTGAAGCTGGCATCATACGGTTTGGCCTCAAAAAATTTGACGTGCACTTGTTCAAAGGTTGTTGTTTTCTCATTGTAGACCAGTGTTTTTGACTAGCATCTCCACAAAATTCCATTTGTAGCGTTCCAGCTGATTTTCTGAAATTGATTGACTGCATATGAAGTCGCTTATAAACCCTGACTACTTTTATTCTGCTGTACCTCTTTGAGTATTGTCCACGTGAACACTCAAAAACTCAAGGCAACGCCTATTTTTAGCCTGTTAATTAGTTTATCTTTGTTTATCCTCATGTCAGACGCGCAATCAGATGGCCCAGCACGTGGTTCGGTCTTTTTGATAGTTTGGTCTTCTTGATAGATCCTTTTAATAATCGTCGTCCATAGTATTTATCGATTTAAGATCGAATGGCCACCATCCCATCTGCTATGGCCATCTCATGGTCAGTTGCAGAATTTTTTCCAATATAATTTATGGACATGCCATTCATTAGAACTGGTCTGATCTTGACATAATCGCTGTATGCCACAAAACTCCGGCCCAAAAAACCAAAGCTTTGCCTCTATATCGTTCTAAGCCTCAACCCATCTAGCGCCTTCTCTGCCCTATTTTCAAATTCTGCTGTACCTCTGATGTGAGTATCGTCCACGTGAGCACTCAAAACCTCAAGGCAACGCCTGTTTCTAGTCTGTTAATTAGTGTTTGGTACCACTCATGAGCTGCATCACTCAGTCCGCATCTTGTCAACAATCCATCTTGAGATTTTGAGCCTCCGCTGATGGTTGTACATAGACATCTCGCTTTTTCCGTCGAGATTGTAAAAACATTTTGATATCGATCGTAATTGAGTCCAA